GGGGGGGGTGTGCTTCTGTTGCCTGGGCAGCTCAGCTTCTCTGCCCTAGGAGTGTGGGATGGCAGTGGAGGAGCTTCTTTCTGGGTGCTGGGCCTGGCTCACCTTCTCTGCCCCAGGAGCATGGCGTGGCAGCAGGGGAGCTTCCTTCAGGGTCTGGGACTAGCTCAGCTTCTCTGCTTTAAGTGTTTGATATAATTTATCAGTTAAAATGTATGTGAGCCTGCTGGTGTCGTATAGGTAGGTTTCCAAGCTAGGAATATACTTTCTTTAACAGGTGCTATTCAAATTTTATATTTCCTCTAGAGTTAGTTTCATCAATTTTTCTTCCAAGGTACTTCTTATAAGTTGTCAAATTTATTTCAAAACAATTTTTTGAAATATGGTTTCTATATCCTTTTAAATTCTGTAAAATCTGTGGTAATATCTCCTAGATCTTTATATTGTAATTTTAAAAATGTCTAATTGATATTGTGTAACAGGAAGAAAAGGTCTAAAGGAGCAGAGGAAGTAGAAGGGGTAGGGGAAAGGAAAACAGGGAAAAGAAAAAATATGAGAAGAAAAAAATGGAAACAAAGTCTTTGCGAATAGGGAAGGGTGGAAGGGGTGAAGGGAGGGCAAGGAAAGGGGAAAAAAAAGAGCCAAGATACTCATGCAATGGTACAAGTTCCCAATGAAGAATGTAACTGTATTTTATCCCTAAAATGTACTAATAAACTTAATGGGAAAAAAAAAAGAATTTGACTGTCTTAGGAAGCAAAGGGTGGAAGCACGCATAACAGATATTTGCTTTCCTTACAATAAAGTATTTGCCTATTCGTTTTAATTCAGAACACAAATTTCTACCCAAGCACCATCTTCTCATGTTCATCTGTAGTTAATGGATTTATTAAAAAAAAATGTTCTTTATCTTATAGAAACAGACCTTGGCAACACAGCATTTTCTTTTTAGGAGCCCCACTTATGGCAGTAGAAATGAGCTCCTCAGGTCTTTGATTGTCACATACATTACTGCAAAGGCATTTGAAATTTAAGTCCAATTTTCCCCCAGGAATTTCTCAAAGTGGTGTGTGCACTCTGTCTTCCCAGGCACCTCCAGGTCATCAGTCACTCGATGTAAGCCAGGCACCAACTGCCCCAGCTCACACACTGGCATCAGCAGACAACTCTCCCCTCTGTCTGTCACTGAAGATTCTTCTGCTCCTATTCTTGAGCTTCAGAGCCGAGGATCTTCTGGAGTGTGTGGACACAGAGTCGAGAGACAGAACAGATCAGGTATGTGGGTGAGCTCTTCTTAAACTAATGTATCTTTGTAGCCTTCTAGCTAGTTGCAAAAGCTCTCTTAAGAGTGTGGTGTTTTTCAGTTTTTGGTTGTGTGTGTATAGAATAAAATTGCAGTCAATGTAGTGTTTCATAATCTTAAACTTAATAGTCTAACATAAACAGTTTCCCATGCCACTAAATCTTATCTTCCAAAATGAGAGAGAGAGAGAGCACACCCCCCATGAGCACAGAATGTAGGGTTGCCCTGTGGACTCCTGTGAGTGAACATGAGGAAGGGTCATCAAATGAGGGGACAAAGAAGGTGGGAAATGGGTAGATACAATCTATTAGGGGTGTACAGTGTTACAAATACAAAAACCTACAGTTGAAGAATTGAACACATAGACAATGACTTCTAAGGAACATCTAATGAAGTTCACAAGGTAGCCAGGTTTTTTCATCTTTGAAGTGTCTAAATCCAGGATCTTTTACCTCATCCCTGGGATTCAATAATAATGTTACAGCAAAGTGGGACAGCTCAGTGTTACAGTCAAGTGTCACAGCTCTGTGTTACAGCCAAATGTTACAGCTATCTGAAGGGCTCTGGAGACAAAGAAACCGGGGGGCAGCACTCAGAGAGATGGAAGAATCCAAATTTTATTATCCCAGCAAGTTCAGAAGAGTTCATACTCCTAAGTCTGAGCCAGAACAGAAATAGAAGCAAGCTTATATAGAAATCTATGGGGTAGGAGTGTGGGCCAACCTACAGGCTGAATATGCTCATTGAGGTGGATGGGCAGAGTTAACAGAATATTCTTGAAAACTTAGGTAGAAACATCATGCAGTACAGTTGCATTGCTTGAACAGAACATTTTATGGCAAAAACATAGGAGGAGCAAAGCCCTCCCCTAGTGTGCATTATTTCCTTATCAGTAACACATCGTATCAACTCTTCAAAGAATTTAATCAATAAAATCATGGAATCTGAGTTTTCATCAGGACTACCAGACCCTGGTGCCCTTGTAGTCTCCCAATCTTACTCTTGCCAGAGACCTTACCTCCGTGACGTCCATTTCCTGATAAGAGACTTTTAGCCTTTCTTTACATTCACCCGGCCTCTCAGCAACTCATGAGTTACTGGAATTGCTAGACACATTTCAGAACCATGCCTGTGAGTTTCCCAGCAAATTTAAAATTTCTAAATGCAGCTGGGCCCATAAGGTTGCTACTTGCCGTCTGGTGGCAGACATCTTATCTCCTGTTGGGAGAATACAAACTCATATTCATAACTCCTCTCATTCTATAACTATATATCATCACTTTCCCCAAAAGAGGAAACAATTGTGTGCTAACAGATGCTTGCTTGTCAACCTCAGAAAGGTCCTGTGCTTTTGTGCACCAATTACTCTCCCTACACGATCCTTTCTGGCCTGTGTGTCCGTCTGATATTAGTTCCTCCACCTGGATCTACAATCACCTCCACTACATCTTTTCCACCTGCTTTTTCTAAGTCTTCCTTATCTACCAGTATTTATTCCTTTGGATTGGCTGGCAACATAGTAAAATCTCTTTCATCCTTAAAAATAGTAATAATAACAGTGAAAACTACAAAGCAAATATGAAAAAAAAACCCTCCTGGGTATTTAAAAACAAACAAAAGTTCCAGAATGTTGAAAACAACTGGCTTTAGAGGAAGGAAAAGGAGGAGGAAAAAGGCAATTTAAGGAATTCAGTCAGGGGTAGGAGGGCAGAAAGGTGGGGATATGGGAGATATGAAAATCTCTTCTAGGATTCTACTAATTTTTGAATAGATTTTTTTTATATGAGAAGATTATTTTTCAAAAACAGATTTTTTAAACTGTTGTCTTAACAATGTTCTAGGCCCCAAGGTCAAAACTGTTTTTTAAAAGTGAAGAAAATAACATTTTCTTAGATCTTCAAAAAGCCTTAATTGGCTTTAATAAATTACAGTCATATTCCTATTATCCAATGGTTTACAAAACAGAGTGTTCCAGTTAATTAAATATGCTGGGTAATGAAGATGTGGCCTATCTGTATACATGAATTACAGATTTCTAAACCACACCATTTCGGATCACATAGAACCTAATGTACTCTGTGAAGTTTATTAGAAACTTGGGGCTATCCCAGGGCACCAAATAGATGAGAGAAAGGGGGAGTAAACTGAAAAGAAGCTCGCCATCCTTTCATGACTCCTGTGGTACTTAACATCAAAATGAATCCCATCAGATAGATCTTACCATAGCTTGATAGATTAAAAAAAAAAAAGCTAAGTTAGGAATTAAACACAGTCTCAGTACCACACATTGGCAGACCAGGACCTAAACTTATGTTTTCATGGCCATCAATTTGTATGATCTCAATAAAACTTCATAGAAGTCAGTGGAATTCCTACAAAACCAATTTTAATGATATATACAAAACCATGAACAAAACTCTAGAAAATCATGCTTCAGAATGGTGGACAGAAAAATAAGACTTCTGGAGACTCAATCCTTCTGTGCTTTAGAATTAAAGAATTGACAATAATTAAATCTTCTTACCAGAAAAAAATTGGTCAAAAATGTGGAAGGATTTTGGTGATTATTGATGTCACTAAAAGTTCTATCCTGTGGCATGATGGTGTTGTTACAGAAGCAATCTTCAAGAAGGTGAGGGTGGTGGCCTGCTGGATCTCAAAGAGACACTTAAAATTTTCATAGAATCATTCCTGCTTCATGAGATAGTCCTAGATATAAATGAGATCTGCAGTGCAGTAGGGCACACCTTCCTCTTAGGTATTGCTACTATTAAACCCCATGCAAGACTGCCATGCCAGCCAGAAAATAAATTTTTCTTTATACTATTTGTGAAACTTCCAGTGCTCATATGGAAAGCTAAAGGCTGAAAATCTAAACAGAATGAATGTTTGTAATAAAAGCTTGGGACGCTCCAGTCATACTGAACTGACATGGCTTCAACCTTGGGTAACCTATAACACAAGTCTCAGTTTTTTCATCTATAACGTGGGCGTGACAGTACCTATTGAAGGTAGTAGGTTTGTGGTCCTCTCCCAGCCTCCCAACATGGTGGTCTCTCATACTACCTTCCTATTTATCCTTCTTTTTCCCCCCTGCTCTCTGCATAAGTCACAAGAGCTTAGAAGAAATTTCCGCACTGTCATCAAGAGCAGGAAGTATCTGCACACAGTCATGGAAGGTGGCTCACTCTGGCCTCCACACTCAGCTCCATATCACTGCCTCATGGAAGTCTCTCCTCACCATTTCCCACCTCAGCCTTTAATGAGTGCTTCTCTGCCTTATGTGGCTTCACATTTTCAGAGCTGGCCCTCATCCCCTGGTATTGGATGTGTTTTCTGATTTTCCACCAGACTTTGAGCTTAAGTCTTTCATCTTTGACCTAAACCCCTGGGATCCTGCTAGTACACCAGTTCCTGGTAGAGTCTCCAAAAGGTTTGTTGGCTAGATAAAAGAGAGCCCTAGCTTTGAGAATTGAGTGCTGTTTATAAAACTTACAAGTCATGTCGTAATTACTGTGTTTATACTTATTTCCTTTTCCCAAAGGAAGAGTTCACTTTCCAAGCTTGTGTCCCCAAATGCTGGCATCAGAAAGACCTATCAGGTAGAGGCTTGTAACCCAGAGTGCCAGTCATGCCTAGACCAGCCACAGCTAGCCACAGACCAGCAGGCTCTGGAGAGTGGATTGAGAAGCCCGTTCCACTGCTACTGGCAGACTTTTTACCACCAGCATGGACATCATGCTCACAGTGGTTCTTGGTGGCACAGGAGAATCTTGCAGATGATTCTGCCTTCCTTCCCCAGAGGCTACTACTGAGATCTCAGCTCAGGGACTCAGAGCGCCTCCAATCTTAGTCAGCTTCCTGAATATGCTGAACTTATTTTCTCTATTAGGCTTTTATAATTGCCAATTTCAGAGAGCTTTGGCTAATTTAATGTGAAAAAATGCTACTAAATTTTCTTAGCAGATACAAAAATACAAAGCAGAGCCTATTGTGTCCCCAGGAATACATGAAATAGTAATGTGTTGTGAGGTGGGGAATGAGTTTGTGTCCTGAAGACTTGCCTTATGCTTAGGACACATCACTTTTTAATTATATAATCACCTTTGCCACCATTTTAAAAAGATGTCAACGAAGTTTGGTGTGGTGGTGCACACCAGTAATCCCAGCACTCTGGAAGCCCAAGAAAGGAGTACAACAAGGTCAAGCCCAGCCTGGGCATCTTACCAACTTAGCAAGACTCTGTGTCAATGTAAAAAGAGCTAAGGATGTAGCTCAGTATGAACAACCTGGGTTCAATACCCATTACAGCCAAAAAAAAAAATCTCAGTGGAACATAAAAACAAATGTTTCTTTCCCATTTTTCATGTTGGTGGACACAGGGTTTTTTGGCTGGGTTGTGCCCATTCCTTCATACAGACTGAAAGAACAACTTTCATTTGGGATTTTCCATCTCAGTGACAGAGGACAATAGTAAGGGAGTTAGTGGGGACTTTTGGCACCTCTTTAGAGTTTCTGCTGGATTGTGGTACACCTCTTGCTTGTATATATAGAATTGTGTAAAGCGAATCACATGCCAAGGCCAAAGTTTGTGAAAGCTGAGTTTGGAATGCTCTTCCAAGGAAGGAGCAAGAGCCCTGGAGAAGAGCAAAACATCTACCATGTGCAGGAAGAAGCACCCTTGCATGCTGGGTGACAGGTGAGGTCTGCACTGGACCTGCAGGGCAGAGATTCCGGAGACAGCATGAGTGATTCTGCCATCTATCTCTCTGGTTGCATGCATCTTTTTTAAGGAGCTGGTGCATTTGATTGCTGCATCATAACTTGATTTCCACCCATTTGCATTTCTTTCTTGTTTCCAGGGGATGATGGGATGCAGACTCATCCTGAGAACAGCAGTCAAGGAAACAGACTCAAGGCTCGCTGCCTGTCCTGCACAGCTGTGCTTCTGAAGGCTGTCTGGGGACTCTTGATCATCTTGTCAGTGTCATCGTCTTGGGTTGGAACCACACAGATTGTAAAAATCACTTATAAGAACTTCTACTGTCCATTTTTCATGACATGGTTTTCAACAAACTGGAACATTATGTTTTTCCCGGTCTATTATTCTGGGCATCTGGCCACTGCTCAAGAAAAACAATCTCCAATGAAAAAATTCAGGTAGGTAAAATGTTAAATGGTGGATAGGAGAGGTTCGAAAATTATATCTAAATATGAACACTCTCACCTCTTTAGAATGTGAGATGAGATCCCTGTAGGAGGGTGGGGAAGCAGGATCTAAGATTAGTGAATGAACACACAGAGGCAGAATCAGTCCTCACTTTGTAAAAGTGTCTACAGCACGCCAGGCACCGTGCTGTTGCTTTTGTATCTCTCATCGGTGACAACAACAGTCACCTTTTAAGATGATGCTATTATTCCCATTTTAACATAGCAGGGAGCAGATTCAGACAGGTACAGTGACTTATCCAAGTTCAAACAATTATAAATAATGGAACCCTAATTTAAATCTGTATCTTTTTTTCTTTGAAATTCACATTTTAAAAGAATATCCCAGTGCCCCAAATCCAGAAAGAGAAATATGTACAGATGCTGTTCTCTGCTGGCTGGCTGGGAGCACTGGGGCATGTCTCTGCTAGTGGTGCACAGTGACAGCAGGGTGTGCCTGGGAGTCTTCTAGCTCTAGCGGTTGCTCCATGCTAAGTGGGGCTTCAGCAGGCCCCACCTCAGGAGTTGGCAAGACTAACATCCTGCAGCCTGTGCAGAACTCAAGGAAAGCAAAAGAAGCAGCCCTTAGGCCAAAGTTGTTTTGTTAGGGACAGCTTGCCCAGAACAAAAAGCCCAAACATGGGAAATAACTTCAAGGACAATCAATCAATCACTCGGGCTGACATCATCACTGAGAGAAAAGGGGGACCTTGTGGATAGCAGCTGGCAGAGGCTGTTTATTGCTCAGTAGTAGAATGACAACAGATTTGTCTTGCAGAAGCCAAAATAACCTTTCTTTGTCATCCTACACCTAATACACCTGAGGTGACAAACATAAGGAATGACTACTATAATTGGTGCATTATAAAGATTATTCCTAAAAACTTAAACTGTGATGGTCTAACTTCAGCTTGCATTTCCCATCACCAACTTGGGAGTGGCTGGGAATTTTAAAGTCATGCTATGAACTGATTTTCTATGGGAGTCCATGAAAACTGAATTATAGTTAAAGAAACTTTAAAAAGAATAAATGTTTTCTGCTTTGGGAGAAAGAAGAAAGCCCTATATCTGTGACCTCTAAAGACATTTTGTATTCGATTCTCAACAAATAGAAATGGTCCTGGTGCAGATGTGTTTTAAATGACAACGCTTAATAAGTAAGAGCAGGGGAATGTGATTATCAGACCGCAATTGTCCCTGTTTGAACATGGCTGTGTGTACCAGATGGGAAGTGTGCTTTACCCAAAGGCTTCTCTGGTTTTGACACACATGGGGATAAAAACAACAAAAGATGTGCTGAAGGAGTACAACCTCGAGAGCATCTAGAGCAAGCCACACTGGTGTTACCTAAGATAACACATTTAGAAGAGGCTGCTGCTGACAGAAGTGTTGTTTCAGGGGATAAACTTCATCTTCTCTCCATCTCTCATGTTAGACTAACTCCGAACTTTGCAAATTCTGTACTTTGACAAGACATCTCCACCAGTTAGAGAGGGTAGGAGTGAAACTGGCCATTTCTGAAATCAAATCAAAGAGCTTCCATCGTCAGGCAAAGAACATTGTCTTTGAAAAGATTGCTCTCCAGGGAGAGCAAAATGAGAAGTAAACATTGTCAGAAATTCTTAGATCCTTGATCTTTTTTCCCTGTAAACTCATTAACACCATCTGCCACGGAGGTACTCCCAAAGCTCTCGTGGCTGAACGAGGAGAAAATAGAGTTAGTATATAAGACTGGAAACAGAATTTGTTCCCTAGCACAAGGACTTCTGACTATTTTTCTCCTGAACAGTATGAAAGCATTTCAGATTTTTTTCTTATCTCTGACATCAAAAGAATTTTCAATAAAGTATCAAATCTAGATGGTAATGGTTGTCAATTTGGATAGTTTTGATGTTTCAATTATTTGAATTGTATGCTAACTGAATTAAAGTGCCTTGGGTGAATTTGAAATTTAGAAAATATAGATTATACATTAATTTTTAATATGGGTGCTTTCTGAGAAAAAAAATCTTCAGGAAGAATGAATTAGAGCCAAATATATACTACTCTGTCAGGCACCTATAAAATGTGCTTAGGGTACTATTTGATGAGAGAGAGTTCAGTAACTAACACCTGCTGCTATAATGATGAGCATGATTAAGTTATTAGTGCTCCCTCACCTTCTACACTTCATTCCAAGATTTGCCACCTGTCAATACTTCTTGTCCAAAGATTCTGATCTTATCATCCCAAAGAGAGACCTACTGTTAAGTCCTTCCCATAAAAATCTATCTCTTAGTGTTCACATTTCTTAACACTTACTGCTTACATAGCATAAGGTTTTACACAGGTGACCTAGAATTTGGATAGATTATTTTTAATTCCTGCAACAGTAGTGACAAACAAGGAGGATGCTGGCAATGGAGGAGATGGGCAAAGAAAGCAGGATGGAAAGGAAGCAGACCCCTGAGGGCCAGGCCTTGCTGGGTGTAGCATTTCCCAGCATCTGCCGCAGGCTTCTCCCTAGCCTCAAGCGGTCTCACTGCAGGATTGGAGCATTCCCTCACCTCCATCCTATGACTTTGCGTGTCAGCATCCAAGCCAACATGGTGGTGGACTCTCATTAGGAAGAACAGCTACTGGGTAGGGCCAGTGAGAAGAAAAAGAAATCCTTTCATCAGAAAGGGGCTTTAGGGGCTCCAGTGGTGCAATCGGTTAGCGTGCGGTACTTATACAAAAAGGGGCTTTGTTGTGGTTACTGGTAAAAGTGTATTGACAAAGGCATTCAGTGGTTACGGTTGACAGAATAAACCCACAACTCTCAGCTCCAGCTCTGTGCAACAGCTTTCTTGTGAAACGTGCTCCTTTGTGAGCACAGAACACGACTCATGCCCAGGCTGGTGCAGGAACACTGCTGCTTATCCTGTTTGATGCTGCCCCAGAATTCCCAGTGGCTCTTGGGCTTCAGAGTGGCCATTCATGTTCCTTTTGTGTGACCACATTTCTGTTTACTTTAAAGAAAGCTTTGCCTTTAAGTTATTTAATCCCTTTACTGAGCTTGTGTCTCTGTCAAGTTAAAACTTACCTTTGAGAAGTTTCATTTTCATGTCATGATGATCCTCCCTTCCTCTATCTCGTGTGAAAGTAAGACCACAGCACAAGGCTCTGTGTGTGCAATGTGCGCTTTAACCTTCTTGGAGTCACTGACACACAATGCCCAGCACTCTCAGCTGCTTGAAAGCAGCCTTCACTGAGGCCCGGCATTGAAGACTCTACTCCCCGTGCTGAGGGCCTTCGCAACTCCCGCACTTTGTGTGGTCATCATGTCGGGGAGGCTGTTCTGTCTACATAAGGCAAACACTGGGTAGACATTGCTTTGGTTTGTAATCCTTTGAGACACAATGATATCTTTTTTAGTAAAAGCTAGAAGAGAAGCTGGCACAGCCAAGCACTCCTATAATCCCAGCACTCTGAGAGATGAGACAGGAGGATTCCAAGCAGGAATCCACACTGCGCCACATAGCGACACAGGGAGACTGTCTCTAAAAAAACTGGGGGAGTGTCTGGGGAAGTAGCTCAGTGCAAAGGCCCTGGATTCAATCCCCAGTGTGCCCCCACACATGTGCACACACAAAAGCAGGAAAGCTGGAAGACTATCTAGTAGCAGTACTATCTAGAGTCATGTAAATACTTTCTGCTATAGACATGTTAGTAACTTGTTACTTTGAACATGAGATTTACACAACTCTTGGAAATATAATCCCTGGCACATTATATTTGCTTAAATGTTCCTGAGTAACTGGGAAAATAAAACAACCTAAATGTTCTCACTGGCAAGTCTGTTTCAATCAGTAGTAGTATAGACATTGCAATTTTATTGCTTCCAGTATTGCTTTTGTGTATTGATGGATTGCACATTTTGATTAAAAAGAGCTCTTGAACTACTCAATTTAATCAGATATCAAACTAATTAAGATTTAATCGAAGTGATTGTTTTCACACAATGAATTCAGATGAGTCGTCCAAAATGGCTGATCCTTGTATATAAGTACAACCTGAGCTTTATCAGACTTAGTTTGACCAGTTTTAGTCATTGCAGAGATTTTCATCATTTTTGTGTCTCAAAAATACTGATAGGAAAAGAAACTAGTCTATTGAGCAGATATATTAGGAAGAAGCATAGTATCTGAGGAATAACAAAACCCCAAGGTGTGCGTGGCTTCACAGACAGATGAGGGTCCCTATTCCACAGGATTCTGGGAGTCATCTGCTGCCTGGTCACATGATAGGAGCCATCTTGTTCCTGTCACAGTCACCTGTTGGGGAAAAACCTTCAACCTCTTGCAGTTGCTAGTGATTTCAGCAAGTACTCTCTCCTGTACTTCCTCAGGCTTCCTCAGGGATGTGCAGAACAGCAGAATGGCTGCCTTAGTCGTCTCAAGAAAGTATCCGAGTAGAAGAGCACCTTGCTCTGTGACAGGGAGGCCTGTGTACTCCCTGAAGCCTGTACAGGGTTCACCGTGTTCCACTGTGATGGCCTCAAGTGTTTGTGCTCTGCCTGAAAACGGCTGTGAAAAGTCAGCTAGACAAGATGGTGACCATTAGCTACCTGCATATTAATCTCTTTGTCTTTCCTAGGGAATGCAGTCGGATTTTTGGTGAAGATGGTCTGACATTGAAGCTCTTTCTTAAAAGAACTGCTCCCTTTTCTATTCTATGGACTTTGACAAATTACCTGTATTTACTGGCTTTAAAGAAGCTGACGGCCACGGATGTCTCTGCTCTGTTCTGTTGTAACAAAGCCTTTGTCTTCTTGCTGTCCTGGATTGTGCTGAAAGACAGGTTCATGGGAGTGAGGGTAATGGCACACTTAATTCAATGCACAATGCCACCCCCATCCTAAATCCTAGCATCAGGGAGCTGCCCTGTCCCATGGAGTGTCTGTAAACTTTTCCCATTTCTTCTTAGTACAGACTGAAACTTGAAGAAGGGTTAGGAAGCCTCAGCAGTCACACTGTCATGATAGGATAAAGGGATTATTTCTACTTGGGAGTCAGCTGACTGCAATAGGAGGCACTAAAACAGATCAACAAAATAGGTTCCACTTTTAGAATTAATGTAATCAACTCTTGTCCTCTGGAAAGAAGGGTCTGAGAAAATTAGCTCCAGTAAAGATTATGATCTGATTTTTTTCAGTCAACATATTTTGGGACAACCTCCTGTAACTCCCACCCAGATGGATTTAATTAATATTGGTGTAAGTAGATAAGGTTACCAAACAGTAATTAAAGTCATGGTAATGGCACAACACTATTAAAAGTGGCTACACAACTAGGGTGACTAATCTAGAAATAGAAGTAAAAACAACGTGTACTTTAGGGCACAAATCCTTAATTGAACTGTGTTAAATGTATACCAACTACTTCAGTTCTGAGCTTATTCCTTCCCACAGTAACATGGATTTAAAAAACTTTTTTTTTAAATTCTGCTTGTTCTATGTCAGAAATAGATTGCTTGGAAACCGTGCAGATTTCAGGAGGCACATCTCATTCATATAATCTGGCATGCCACCATGATGAAAGTCCCAAGACAACTCCAGAAGAAAGTCCAGATGAATAGCCTTTCCCAGGATGTTAACATAATACAACTCACTCTTCTCTTAAAAAAATGTCCAGATTAGATTTGAAATATATTTTGCTATCAAAATATTGCTCTTGTTGGCAATAATGTCAAGGTCCTTCCCCTTCCCAAACATTGAAATTATTTTTTAGAGTAGCGAGAGAGAGAGTTTATGATGGCCATTAGTTCTGAACTTTTTAAAAAAACAGCCAATTAAAAGCCAGGCACAATGGCACATGCATGTAGTCTCAACTTTATGGGAGACAGAGGCTGGAGGATCTCTTGAACCCAGGACTTCAGGGCCAGCCTAAGCAACATAGCAAGATTCTAGCTTTTTTAAAAAAAATCATCAACTATGTTGACAGGATATGAATTATTTTCTATAAATTGTAATTGATGACATGGATAATACCTTCATGTTTCTGCAAAATAATCTGTTCATGGGGGGAGGGGATAATAAATATAATTTCTAACCAAAAAAGAATATCACCAACTAGAAAATTCTGATTGTATCTTGAGAGATGCTACTCAGAAATTCAGAACTGAAGCTTACCATGAAAAATAAGATGAAAGCTTTGACAGAAGAAAAACTGAGAAACTGTGACTAGTTCATGATACCATTAGAATATACCAGATGTGATGCCACATGTTCTACTAGCTAACATCTTAGACTTGACACCCAAAGGGCTTGGCATCATACTTGATGCCTGGAGCACTGGTGTGGATGTCTCCATCAAGTACCCTGATATGTCCTTCCGAGAAGGGATCCTTCACTCTTCCATTCAAGACGGGCTACATCATTTTTTGGGTCCAGTGTAAAATTAAGATCCAAGACCTTGTTTAAAAACTTTTAACGATTTCAAGATGGTTAACAACAAAACATTAAACCAAGTGTGGTGCCCATTGTAGTGCGGTTCCTTGAATGAGTTCTGCCTCTATTCCCTATACCTTGGTGATGGCGAACCTTTTAGAGCTTTCAGTGATATAAACAGCACATGTGCCATAGTTTTGCCACCACTGACCTAGACTTAGGCAATGCACAAAGTAAGGGCCCAGTTAATGTCTGAGGATACCATGAATGAGTCCATTCTTCTGAAATTGCTCTTTTCACTATGACCATGGATCACCCAAGAGGACATGAAGGATCTTCTCAGAAGATGAGAAAGGAAAGGATATTTGGGAGGCTTTCTACTCAGTCAGGGGCACGTGAATAGAAATAGTAACTCAGTACATTCACTATTATATTTACCAGTGGAAAAAACAATTGTATTAGAATTAATGAATGTACTTAACCATAAGCCTCACTGACAGGAGAGGTCACATCAAAAAAGTACAATGTTTGAGATCTCCCAAAGAAAAATATCTCAGCTTTGCAACATGGATTTAAGAAATCTTCCTAGAGGCTACTCACCATTACCATTTTAAATTTGTCATAGCCAGTGGGCTGAATAGTGTCTCCGCCCCCCAAAAAATCTGTGTCCTAATTCCCAAAATCTGTCAATGTGATCTTATCTGGAAAGAGTCTTTGCAGATGTCATTAATTTAGGAACTTGAAGAAAGCTTTCTTTGTGATCTGAATGGACCCAGAATCCAACAGCAAGTGCTCTTATAAGAGGTCCATGTGGGAAGGACACACAGAAGAGGAGGGATAGTGTGATCACAGGGTCAGAAAGTGGAGTGGCATAGTGCAAGCCAGGAATGCCAGGGCAGCTTCTAAAGTTGGAAGGGATGTAGCGTCCTCTGCAGATGTCATTGAGAGCATGGCCCTGCTGCAGTGTGAACATCTGGCCTCCAGTACTGTGAGAGAATCCATTTCTGGTACTGATGTCACTAACTTTGTGGTTTTTTCACATCAGCCTCAGGAAACTAAGGCAAAATCTGTAAGCAATAAGACATGAGAGAAGAAATGTTAAGTAGTCAACAGGTATACATCAATAAATCGATACACAGGTTAAGACATCACAGATGGCAAAATGGCAATCATTAGTGTCAGGCTTGACAGAAGTAAGATTTTTTTCTTTTTAAGTGATAGGAAATGCTTCCCTCCTCACTGAGAAACATTAAAATGTGTTTAATGCCATGTCTGAAGAATGTCAAAGTGTGATGTTAATGATGGCCATAATCAGGCTGTGGAATAAGAGAAGCACCAAAACATATTCACCATTTTGCCTTTTGACAGTATCAGCAGTTCTTTTCCTCTGGAGGCAAACAGCAAACATGTATAATTAGGTCATGTGAGAAATTAAAGGAGGGCAAATATAGCATCGACAACATAAATGCTGCTCTTATTGCCTTCATCTAGAAGTAATCTATAAGCACAGTCCTGCCAGATGTTACCCCCTGGACTCCTCTTAGGAAAAAAAAGGCAATTAAAGGCCTGCTTCCATCTTCATGTGAAAATCCATCTTTCTGGCTTATGCTAAAGTGTCAGGAGTTTAGAAATAGACACTGGATTATAATTCTTCTTTGTGTGGCCCCAAGAATGGTCATATTTAAGACGAGAAGTTAAGACTCTATTTTTCATGTCAAAATAATACCAAGGGCAGGATAAAATATATGTAATTTATCAATAAATATGGGGCTATCTGGATCATCATGGGGCAATACTAACATAAAAGTGAATTATGAATTATAAATAACATGCTAATATTTTGTTTCTTTGGAATATTGAATTACAGATGGAAGTGTAATCTGCTATATATTACTTCTCAATTATAAAGTCATTTCCACTGATTTACTAGTAATCTTTTGTGTCTTAAAAAGCTCTTTTGTGAGCAGTTGCTTGCAGCTCATTTTTGATCATCCCATGGAAATTAGTAAATGTCTTTAAAAGATGCTTTTTTCAAAAAATTGCAAAAATGTTGGAAAGTCATAATCTGTCTCTTGCAGCTTTAAATGGGCTGTTTTCCTATCTCTGAAATCCTGTCTTATTTAGCTACAATTCTTAAAGTCATGAGAATCAGAGAAACCACCATTGCTGCAGTAGAAGAAAGCTCTTGGGCTGGAGGTGTAGCTCAGTGATAGAGCACTTGCCTAGCACGCACAAGACCCTGGGTTTGCTCCCTAGAACTGCAAAACAGCAACAACAACAATAACAACAAAGGTTCTTCCCAAGGGAAATGAGTCACTGGCTGAGTTAACGTCTCGGTTGCTGGTGACTGTTTCACTACAGTAACCAGATGTCAGGCTTGAAAGTTAGAAACCTTTTTTTTTTTCTGAGCTTGTCGCTCCCTTATGTTTTGTATTATTATTTCAAAATTTTCTTTCATTTTCTAATCTCTTTGAAGATATGAAGAAAATTGGTGGTCAGAGAAAAGTCCCAGCCTTTTTAGCAGATTTAGGAAATGAATGTGTGTTGTTCAATCTGGTACTCATGTGTTTTCCAGCTCTTATGTGGGTCTAGGAAGTTAAATTTCTAAACTTGGGCTGTTCTGAAGACTTTCTGATACCTACCAAGGACTAACTGGAGGATGTCAGTTAAATGAGCTTTCATTGCCTAACCTGCAGTTCTTTCCATTCAAACTCTGAAACAGGACAGGGGAGCTGAGCCACTACTGCTTCGGGTTGATGTTATGCTAAGATCAAGTTTAAGATGAACTTTGTTTCCCTGTTGCCTTTGGTAACTGCCCATGCATGTTTAGGGCAGGCTTCTGCACCAGGGGCTTTCATGCTTTCCTCTCATGCCCCCTTGGCCAGACAGCCTCTCATAAATACAGTGCAGAGAGGACACTGGGTTGTGATAATGCTGAGACTTCATGCCCCACGTGGAATCCATTCCTCCTCATCGAGGTGCAGTTGATGTGTCTACCCCTACATACGCCCATCAGTCTTTTCCTGTGAGATTCCTTTCCATCTATTCTATAAGGTATTCTTTTGAGATGATTCCCAGATAGATTTAATGCATAGAAAAATAGACATTGAGGATTAGGAGTTCAGAGGCCCACCCCTTCCCTGAGTGTGCTGATGTCCCCTCTTTTCCTGTGCAGCAGCTGGGTGCCTGGAGATTGTCACATCTCTGCATTTTGTCACATTTCAGCTTTTGTTCAATTTAACCCAATTATGCCGAAGGTTGCAATTTTTTGAATTTTTGCATGAAATTCATATATGTTACCTAGAAAAATTCTAGAAACAAGAATTTGAACAGAAAAATCTTTATTATATTCCATTGTTATGTGACACTCCAAATTGGAATACTAGGCATAGAAGGATTAATTAGATCTGAGTAAGAACAAATTCTTCTTGGAACCTTAAGTATAACAATGTGCAGAAGTTCAAGGGTTCTATGAAGCCACTGTTCCGCTATCTAAACCCACTCAGAGAGGAGGGGCGGATCCTCAGGGCAGCGTTCCCCAACTGAGCCATTAATGTGTGTTTGCACCTCCTCTACTGACCTCAAGTCTTGAGTTTGAGTGCAGCCATGGCCAGCAGCGTGACTTGAAACCTGCTGTTGGCTCTGGGACTCAAGAGTTCCACTGTGAGCCAGTGAAATGCCTCTCCAGTTGACCAGCTTATACTGCACATGCGGTATGAGCCGCAAGGCAAAGGGAGGAAATCTGTTCAGGTTACAATGACTCATTTAGACTTGGAAGACTCTCAAAGGAACACTGTAGGGAGAATTGAATTGAAGATTCACTTCAGTGTCCTGGACCCTAAAAGAGCTGGTATTGCTAGGCAAATAATGATTCTGGAGACCCTCTAAGAATGGCAAATGCAGAGAATGGGGTGAAGCTAGGAACCCTCATGGTGATGCACAGAACAGTCAGATCCCGTGGCTTTTGAGAACCTGAATGGGGAAAGGAAAAGGTGAAGACACAAAAAAACAAAACCAGCCAAAAGTCAGATGTTTTTCTAGCCATTATTTGCACAAGCTAATTCTTTGAAAGGTAAAAGAAACACAGCTTTCATGCAGGGCCACAGGCGGGACTGAGTGCTGAGACCAGTTGTCTCTTTGGGCTTTTGGAAAAGGCTCAAATGGGCTCACAGTTCCTTCCAGTTGGCCCTGAAAGTTGATGCAGAGCACTCTCTGAGGGGTGTAACATGAAGAGGAAGGCTGAGAGTCCCTGTTATCTTCCTCTGAGGTGCTAAATAAATAAATCCCCTTCCTGGAGTCCTCACCTTAGGTGGGCACACCGGGATATGAGTTAGAAATGGAGGCGTTGGCAGTTTTGAGGTCACTATGGTTATTGTTATTTTTACCCAAACTAGATCCAGCAGATGGTAATGGCAGCTTTTCGACCTTGTTTAAACAATTGAGGTAGAACCGGAATAAGTTGTCAGGAGAGCCAAGCTTTTCAGAAGTGAAGCAGGCACCAAGTCTACATGGTGCATTTTGTAGCAAATAAGGGCCCACAGGGTGCTGACATGTCCCAGAAGCATTTTTGTGGTGGTCACCATGTAAATGAGCACCCATGAGCAGTGCTGACATAAAGTTTAAGGCATTGGCTTCTTGGAGATACATTTCCAGTGCGCTTAGCACAAAAAGTCATCTCGTATGTTTCTGTTGAGAAGGAGAACAGGCTATTCATCGTTCTTTGATGACTGCTTCTGAAATGCGTGTGACTCAGATGTGAGCAGAAGCTAATGTTCTAGGGACTTTTAAAGAGTCTTCACTCTCTAAAGTTAAACCAATAATGCCATGCAGAGCCATTCTGGGAAGTCCCTCTGAACAGGACTTCCACCCGACATTTGCCTGCAGTTTTGAGATTAGCTGAGATTTGTTCCTTTAGTTCCAGCTGTGTAGACAGAAAGTACACTGAGGATTTCTTAAAACATGCCTCAGAGAATTTATCCTATCTGATAATTGTTAAATTTAAATAAAAATGTGACAAATAATTGAACTTAGCCCCTGAACCTACTATATAACCTATAAATCACTGCCCATACTGTGAAGAAGAGTTGGCTAACATCTCAAATATTCAGATTTTCTTACTTTCAGAACTTAACTAACCTCATTGTTTGGTCCCCTAAGGTGAAAAATGCTTCTCTGCATGAGAGCAATTTAGACATTGATGCAATAGACGTGTCTGTGTAACTGGTCCAGGCGAGTAGTTTCACAAGCATTTGAACATAACAAGTGATGGAGAAATTTAAGAGGATCACTATGATTATGATTTTGCATTTCTATAAAATCATGTAATCTTTACCCATATCCAATTCCCACTTTGAGAAAACTTAGCATAGGAATTTCATCTTTATATACTTTTACTAATGGCTAGTGCAGAAACAGAAGCATTCCCCACTGTGGTCATATCTGGGGATAATGGCACTACATTTGTCACTGTTCAGACAGGTTTTGGGGGTGTTTTTGCTTTTTTTTTATGAGCAGTTTGCATACTTCTCTAAGCTTAGAATGATATATTACACACAATAGCTTAAATACAAATATTATGCAGCATAACATAGTTTTAATAATTTGAAATACAAAAAACACATTGTGTTCACTAAGATTCTAAGATTAACACTGAGTTCTATTAACCTTGTCTTAAAGTAACCACATGATTATGTAACCAAGAAAGTACAACTGATAATAAATATCAATTCAAATATATTATCTTCTGAGTTCAGTCTTGTGAGAAAAAAATCTATTTGTGCTCATGAATACTTAACTCATGAACATTAAGTACAAAAACCAAATACCAGTGTCTAATTGGTCTTTTCATTTCTCTGAAACCATGTCACCCAAAAATGGTTGCAATCTCTACTTGAACTATAAATCCTCAAATCCAGGGAAATGATAAGCCTCAAATAATTTCCAAGTCAAGATTACCCCCTCACCATGTTTATTTATGAGTCTATGAATTATTTGACAAATTTCTTTGACACCTCATGGTGTGTGTCTTAAATTCTCTTCCCGTCATCTGAGGCAGAACCCAACAGGAACACACCTGGCAGCTTTAGAGAACTGATACTCACTGGGCAAGAGAAACACTTCCCATCAAGCAGCCTCCCCAGATGTATGCTATGAAGACTCTTCACTGCAGCCTGCTGGCCTGGGCTCTGAAGGCCTCCTGCTGGTTTTCACAAAGGACACTTTTGTTGTGCAGCTACTCTGAAACCACCAGTGTGCTTGCCTTCGGTGGCATTAACAAAAGTGTCCTATGAGAGCACCTGAATTACATACTCCCGGCAGCCTACTCTATCCTGGTCTCAAGTCACATGTTACTGATCTACATTTTATTGATAATAAGCGATTGATGAATAATATTCAAAAGGGCCCCAGGCATCACAGACGTGAAAAAGCTATTTAAGGGAGGAATTTATTTATTTAGGAATACTCAGAACTGAAGCTTAACAAAAAAATTAATTTTTATGTAGTTTAAATTTCTCACAAATTTTCATCTTGATTTTAGTCAGTGAGGAAATGCCACATTATCCCCTATTTCAGAGTTGTTAGTTTACTGTAGTTGTTGTTTGCTGTAGCTGTGAAATGCTTCCCAGTAGAAATAGTTTACAATAATTAAAGAAACAGGAAAACCAGCATTTTATTAAGGGAGCGGACTCCTGTTTTGAATATACTAAGAATCCTAGGGTTTAACAGTAAGGCATTATGACCTCAAATTATTAAAATTTCACTTTATGCAGTTAATGAATACTCTAGCATAATTGAAATTATCTTTTTGTGATTTACCTAAAAAATGGAATTAATTTGCATGTAAACAAAAGGCAGAAGTCTCCGGTCTCACCTTGCAAGTGATGCTGCAGATTCTATTTTCTCCTTTATAAATCCCTATGAGAGGTTATTTGATTTTCTTTTTTGCCCTTCATCTAAGTTTTGCTTCTTTGCTACATCAAAATTATGTCTCCCTAATCAAGTCCTGGTTCTGTGGAGGTCCTTAGAAACATGCACCGACCCAAGGAACTGATTAAAATGTGTGCTGAATTCTTTGAAGAAAAAGAATATAGGTGAAAATACTTGGAAGTGACTGCCTATTAAGACTATTTCACTAATAAAGATATTGATCTCTAGAAAGTTGAGCTAAAAATTAAACTAGAATAGTAGTCCTTAATTAGGGTATGCGCAGCTTCTATAATCTGTGTGTGGATGTCTTATGAGCATACTGACTTATTTTTAATACTGACCTTTCTTACACTTAAATAGTGGTAGAGAAGAGGTAATCAGACTTAAGGAAATACATAGCAACTTTCAGGATGTCTTGAAGTCGCTTGACCTGAGATACGGAGTTATCATTTTCTTCTGCTTCTTTCCATTCCGTTCAACAGATAGTCGCTGCAATAATGGCCATAACTGGCATCGTCATGATGGCCTACGCGGACAACTTCCACGCGGACTCCATCATAGGCGTGGCCTTCGCAGTGGGCTCCGCCTCTACATCCGCACTGTACAAGGTCTGTTGTGCACCTTCTTTTGTAATCAACTGTCATCCGTTGTTTCGATTTAAGCAATACAGTAAGAAAGGGCCAAGAAAACTATAGTTAGAAAAAGAAAAAATGTGTTTAAGTAGCATTTATTGAGTACTTGCTATGTGGTGGTATCTGTCAGAAAAAATCACCTATCACAAATTTCGGAGGCATAGATGCTGTTTCACATTTTCCAAATGAGGAAACTGGGGCTTTCAAAGATTTAGTAACTTGCCCGAGGTCCAACAGCCAGAAAATGATAGAGCCAAGATTGAAGATGGGCTAGACAACTCCTTGCCTGTGCCCCTCATCCTAATTATCAGGTAATTAGAGCAGGAATGTGAAAAAGGCTTTTCTCCTTATGTTTTTCCATGTAACTATCCATGGTCATTATTCTAGCTTCAGAGCGATATTAGAAATAATAAACAAGCTGTCACCTGAGAGTCACTCTTTGGCTACACATTGACCCATGCCATAGGAGCTCATGTCATTAGCAAAATGAAGACATTCTTTTCCTCTCTGAGGGACCTAATTTTATGCATATTAGCAAACTTTACTGTTACCAGTCCCAGAATGAATGCATTCTGTAACCAGATCTGGAGAATTCTCTCCATAAGATAATCATCCTGGTTACATAGCTAAATAGCCCTGCTTCTGGAGGTCGTGGGCATGGCCTGGTCTGAGCCTGGAGGAGGGGCCTGAGCAACACTTGCACACAGTGCAAATGTGACTCAGGAGTCCTCAGGTCCTCTGAACAGCTGAGAGACGCTGAGTCGACTCTGTGTGCTCACTGCTGGTTCTGCACTGCAGTTTCCCAGTCTATTCTATTCAGGGTCATTGAACCTGACTTCAGAAACAAGGAATCAGAGCACAGATCTAAAAGGTCTTCCCCCAAAGCTGTGCTTTTTAAGAGCAAAGTTTCCGGATGATTCTGATTTTACCTCTCCTAGTGTTTCAATAAGAAAAGAGTCTTTGGACCGGGGATTTAGCTCAGTGGTTCCGTCGCCTGTGTCACAAGCGCAAGGTCCCCAGTTTGATCCTCGGTACCAAAAAAAAAAAAAAGAACATGGTCTTTGAAAAGCTGAAAATACCCTTTGCCCAGAGGCCTGTTTTGATTATTCACCACTATTATGAAGTCTGTTTCCATACTGACATTTCCTGGCCCACTGATTCTGTGTGACAAGCTTGACAAGTGTTTGCTTATTGGCCATTAGTGTCTAACTTGCTCCCCACAGGAAAGCCACCAAGATGTCTGATGTGACCGCAGGCCAGCACATGCCCAAGTCCTCTCAATTAAGTCTTCAAAGAGAAAAATAACAATTTCAGTCAAAAAAAATTGCAGTACTTGGAATTAGTATGAAGCCAGGATGGTTATCTTACCGAGTGAATTCTCCTGAGGAAGTTACATAATGCATTCATTCTGGGAGTGGTGATATTTACTAGCATGCTCAGAATTATATTTGCACCATAATTCTTGGCAGGAATAATCTACTCCATTTTTATTAGAGGATTAGCACAGGAAAAAGACAAGTGAAGAAGTTGAGAAATATGGGCTTCAGATCTGGCCTCCTGCTCCAGCCAGCTGTGACTTTAGCCATTGCCTCTCTTTGCCATCTTCTTCTTCTGTACACAGGCTTATAATCCAGGAAAACAAAACAAAATTGTTTAACCCAGAAAGAAGATAATGCAATGTTTGTGAAGACATTTAATATCAGAAAGAAAAGTGCTTATAAGCACAAGGCATCATTATTTCTCTTAACAACATAATGGCAGGTTCTCTGTCCAATTTACTTTTCAGTATCTGCCCAAAAAAAGGGTGCAATGAATACTCTGTTCACTTGTGCTTGGAAGGAAGAAATGATGGCATCTCAATCCCAAAAGATTTTTCTGTGCTAGTCTGCACACTTATTAACCATTCACCCTGTGCACATCCTGATGGTTTTGCTTTTCATAGTATACAGTCCCACAGCAATTTTCAACAGCACGAAATATCGTATGGTAGTTGTGGTTATGGCAGTTATTGTATGGTAGTTGCTGTTCTACATGAGGGATGTAGGTCATTTTAATTCCAGTCTCAACAGCCCATATCATACCAGGGAAATGGCAGGGCAAGGAGTCCTGGAGAATAAGCTCTGGGGCAGTTAGTTTCCTGTATAGATCAATCGAACTCGCCTTTCTGCTTCAGCAAAGTCTCCAACCGTGTGGCTGAAGAGTTTCTTCCCAATCCAGGTTCTCTTTAAGATGTTTCTCGGAAGTGCCAACTTTGGTGAAGCCGCACACTTTGTCTCCACCTTGGGTTTCTTCAATTTGATCTTCATCTCCTTCACTCCAGTCGTCTTGTACTTCACCAAGGTGGAGCATTGGTCCTCTTTTGCAGCTCTGCCATGGGGCTGTCTCTGTGGCATGGCAGGGCTGTGGCTGGGTAAGTGGCCTCAGGGTTTGGCTTCCATTTAGTATATCACTCGAACTTTCCATGGACACATTTGTAGTAGGATTGCTCCCTTGGGCACTTCTGTGCTCTTCTGCCCTAACTTATATTGGCTAATGTCATTGAATATTTGGAAGGATTTTTGCAGGCTCATGTTTGATTAGACCCAAATTATCCAGCTGGTATAGTTTTGCTCCGGTTTAAGGTGTGCAGCTGGTCACCCAGGCCACTCTGCTAACCACTGGCCTTCACACAGCCTTACCCAGTCTACACGTTGGGCTGTGTCATGTATATGTTCCATGTACACCACAGTGTGTTGGGCAGAGGTAAGATAGTGGGTAAGATTCGCTATCAGAGTGGTTCAGAATGACCAGAGCACCTGGTGCAGGCAAGAGGGAAAGAAGGCAGGATTTGGCATTCAAGAGGGAAATAGCTTATGAAAGGTATGAAAAGCCACATCAAAGGGTTTGGATTTTAAGTCCACATAATCTTTAAGCAGAAAGGTGATGAGCACACATCTGCCTAGGGAACCGCTCACTCTGCTGAGTATGCAGAATGGCTTTTCAATAGGAAACTCTCACCAGGAGGGAGAAGACAACATGAGCAAAACTTGGTGGGCCATAACTAGTCAGGAGCCAAGAAAAAGTCACCTGGAGTCTTTGTAATGCCCTTGGTCCCAGCTCCCTGGAACTCTGAGGCTGTCTGCTGTGATGAGCTCCTACTTTGAAGCTCTGCTTGACCTGAGAGGAGCCTGGAAAATAATGAGCCTGCTCTTCTCTCACCAGGCAGTCAGAAAGCAGTAACAGTCCAGGGCCCAGTGTCTGTTTACCCAGGATCAGAATATTCTTGTTCTGCCCCCTTTCCTACATACTGTCTCCTCTGCCTGCTTCACATTCACCCATCACTGGCAACCTCAGGACCTCCACCAGCCCCGAGCTGACCTCCTTCACCAAGGTGGTATGACTTCACTGCAGTTCCTGGGAGAAGAATGTTCTGATTCCAGCAAGGGTATTGGGTGGGTTATCTTATTCTGTTCCAGCCAGGCCCCTAAAAGGAGATCTTATACAAGAACTCTCAAGAGAAGAATCAAACTTTCATTGTTGGTCTCCTGAGTTCTACTTTTCAAGACCAAAATTGCATGGTTACCATCTCTCATTACCTCTGATCAATTAAGTAGCAGTCAATACACAGTGTTTCCATAAGATCAAAATATCCTAATTAAAAGGGCCTCTACTATCTCCTGGCCAAAACAACTTAGTTTGGAACAATCACAAGCAAAATTTCACTGGCTCTTGGCTCCCCCTGTGCACACATGGCTTCCACATTGCAGCAAAATAGCCCTCTCCTAACACGTGTTTGTCCTTTGGCACATTTAATGCATGCTCCTAAGTGACCCTGCTCAGGTTAGGGGGCCACACATGATAGCTGGACCCTGGAGTTTGCCAAGCAGTGTGGTCTCCATACTCTACTGGGCAAAGTGCCACCTGGCACTGCAGCTGCTCCATGAGAACCGCCCCAGGGCACTGCAGAGCTCCCTGTGCCCAAGCTATGTCATGACAAATTGAAGAGACAGATTCTCTCCCGACTGTGTTACACACTCCAGGCATTTAAAATCCAAACCTTAACTGCTTCCATGCTTAAGTCTTAATTTTCATCCCTATTGCCTACAGTCTCACTGGGGCTGGTCTGAGAGGGAAGGCTAAGAGATGAATACTAGTCTGTGCTCTAAGTAGCCCCACTTCTTCTGCAGCTGTGGCTAAGACCTGTCCTGCAGGGACCTGGCCTCTGGGGAGTGCCTTAGCCCAAAGGCAGGTTAGCTTTGTCCATTCATCCAACATGTCTGAATTGCACGTAAACTTGGGCTGGTCTCCATGCTACTACAACACAGTGAATTAGATATTCTTTTCCTTGGGTTGTCAAAAGAGAATATAATTATTTCATGTAAGGGACTAAGGAAAAGCAGACAACACATTTCAGCAAAACCACCAGACTTTTGCTGAGAAAGGCTTGGTTCTGCTAAAATACCACTACTTTTGTTAAATTTGCTAAAATATTCAGTTCAGCCAATAAAATGACCTTTTAAGAGTACAGCAGAGCCTTGATGCATTTAATAAATTTCTAACCTATTAGAATTTGCCATATTTGACTTCTGGATCTAAAGAGAGACTTGAGGTGTTAGAACATTAGTTTACTTTGCAGCCTTGTCATGGATGAGGAAGAAGCAGGTACTAATGCAGGAAGGCTGTATGCTTGGATTGCTAATGCTGTTGTCTAAACAAGCCTTGTAAAGACCATTGTCTCCAACTACCAAGTACAACTCCAGATAACTGAATTAGTGGCCTTAATTAAAGCATAGATAATAAGAGAATACAAACCATTACAACTGGAATGGTTCTAGAACCTTCTTTGATTCTACTGGAATGGTTCTAGAACTTTCTTTTATTCTACAGGGA